CCTTGCCTGTGCTCGATCGGATTCGGTTCGGCTAGCCCTCCAACTGCTCTCTAGGCGTCTTTTCCGGCGCTTCATCTCTCTCAGCTCCTCAGTAAACCAGGGAGCCAGTTGAGATCTGCGCCGGGTCAGAGGCCGCAAAGGCACGACTCGGTCCAGTGCTGCGGCAGCGGCCACTTCCCAGGCCGCCGCCAGATTTTCAACCGAGTCGTGAACTAGATCCTCAGGATATGGCCCAAGCTCCGTCCTGAACCTCTCTGGGTCCATCAGGCGCCTGGGACGGAACCATCTATGCGGTTCCGACTCCCTGCGGAGGGGGGGAGCGGTCCGGAAGTCCATCTTAAGGAGTGAAATTGTTCAGAATTTTAAGTGTCTGCAACGTAGAGGGATTCCTTCATTTAATAATGTAGAGTAGCTTTCTTCACATTCTTACATTCCGATATTTCCCCAAATTCTATGAGTTTGGGAAAGGGAAGCCTCAACCTATGAAGACAATAGGATGCTGTGTATTGTCTTATGTAATATTAGAATATTGCATCAGGTTTTGGTCACCGCAATGTAAAAAAGATGTTGAGACTCTAGAAAGAGTACAGAAAAGAGCAATTAAGATGATTAGGGGATTGGAGGCTAAAACAGGAATTGGGTATATCTAGCTTAATGAAAAGAAAGACAAGGGGGAACATGATAGCAGTGTTCCAATATCTAAGGATTGCCACAAAGAAGAAGGGGTCAATTTATTCTTCAAAGCACCAGGACAAGAAGCAATGGATGGAAACTAATCAAGGAGAAAATCAACGTAGAACAAAGGAGAAATTTCCTGACAGTGAGAACAAACTATCACTGGAACAGCTTGCCTCCAGAAATTGTGGATGCTCGAACTCTAGAGGTTTTTAAGAAGAGATTGGTCAACCATTTGTCTAAAATGATATAGGGTTTCCTGCCTGAGCAGGGGATTGGTCCCTTCAACTCTGTTATTCTGTAATTATTAAATTATTTTGAAGAATTTAATGTGATACTCAAATTGTACAGAAAAAAATTCTACTGGAAACAGATGACTCAATCTCTCTGCCTAAGCAAATGCAGGTATTCCCAAAGATTCTCAACAATATGTATGTTTGCCTTTATTGATAGATATTCCACACAGCCCCAGATCCCAATATTCCTCTTGGAAAGCCTCAATCCAGATCAAGCTCAAGAAGGACAAGAGCAATCTGTCTCTCCACAGGTCCTCGCAAGCCTAAAGGACGATATACTCCATGTCTAGCAGATCCAGATAGTAAGTGCATTTTTTTCTGTTAGCACTGTCTGATTTCTCACAGTTGGTTATAAATGGGTGGTAATAATTGTGTTGCTCTGAGCACAAGGGGTGCTTCTCTACTGAGCATTTTGGGCTATTCACAGTGCACCTATCTGCACTTTTTCATTTGGGCTTTTCTTATTTATTTAAAATATTTATATAGCATATATATTGGAACATTTATATATTTCTTGTTCCTTTGTTTCATTGTATGTGTATAACCTTTTCCCCAACAAAATCTAGATATGCTGAGGCAGAATTAGCTGTCTTAATTGTACACAAAGAGGATCTTTCTTCCTTCCTCTCCTGACTCAACCAAAGATATAGGAGGGATCATAGGGTATGGTACAAAGGCACATGATGCAATTTTAGATTTAGTTATTATCTGACTAAAATACTTCCTGGAAGTTTATTTGTATTGCTCTGAGCTTCATGCTGGAAAAACCCCAATATATATAAATGTAAAATGAGTGTTCAAGAGCAATTAATCACACTAGTATGTGAAGGGCAAATGTTTCTTTTAGCCATTTGTGACATCAAATTCCAGTGGTTTCATTTAAAAAAGACTTGAAAATAGGACTTCAAATATTCTGATGCTTGTCTAGAGCTGTTCAATTGACTATTGAAAGCTCCATGAAGACATCTTCTTGGGACCTTCATCTGGCATGGAATACTAGCGCTAGCACTTAGACTTATATACTGCTTCATAGTGCTTTACTGCCCTTTCTAAGTGGTTTACAAAGTCAGCATATTGCCCCCGACAATCTGGGTCCTCATTTTACCAACCTTGGAAGGATGGAAGGCTGAGTCAACCTTGAGCTGATCAGGATTGAATTCCTGGCTGTGGGCAGAGTTAGCCTGCAATACTGCATTCTAACCACTGCGCCACCACAGCTCTTACATACCATATAGCCATAAGCCATTTTCTCATACAGTCACACTCAAGATGTTCAGATTCATGCATTCTCATGCCATCATTAATCTGTATGGGTTTTGCTACACTTGTGCAGAATCATAAAGTAAATATTGTTCTGGTAAAGTCAATTTAGATCATATTGTATTTCTGTGCATATTAGTTAATAACAGGTAGTGTTGTTTTCCTCCCAGGGGAAAGCAAAGAAATTTGAGAAATGTGGGGTCCTTGGTGCTCTCTGAGCTTGCTGATTTTCTTACAGACGTTTCATTAGCAAGCTAAGTAACATCATCAATGCTGGCTAAATTTGAGAAATGCCATTTATTGTTTTCATCCCCTTCTCTTAACCTTTCCACCTTCCAGGTGATTCATACAGTAGCAGCCCAGACAGCACTCCAATGGGCAGCATAGAATCACTGTCCTCTCACTCTTCAGAACAGAACAGCACTACCAAACCTGCATCTTCTCAATCCAGGGAAAAAACAGGGGTTGTTCCATGGATTGCGTCATCGCCATCATCCAATGGACCAAAAAATTCTGGGCTTTGGACCACAAGTCCTGAATCCTCCTCAAAGGAGGATGCAGCAAAAACAGATGTGGAATCTGACTGTCAAAGTGTCACATCTGTTACTGGACCAGACAATGTGACTTCACCAGGAGACCCAGCCAAAAGAGGATTGTATAGTCTCTCTGGAATGAAAAGATCATCAGCTTTATCTTTAAGGTCTATCCCTTCTGCAGAAGGTAATTTTTGAATGATCCATTGCTTTACTGTCAATAGGTTATTTAATGGTTTGTGTGTATCTATTTCAACATTGCAAATCGAGAAAT